AATAATTAATTAATCAGATACTAGATGTCGTAACTACCTGCAGGAAAATTTACAAAATATTAAAAAAAATCCATTTAGTAGAAAATAAGTGTAGCGGAAATTAAGATAGTTTCTTTTGTTTAAAGTTAATATAAATCTATGATGAAAGTTTTGAATGTGTGCTTATTAATAAATACCGATTACATGTGCTTTGGTAAAACTATTCATTAAAAAACCATAACTAGATGTTTTTGGTATGATTTTGAAACTCAATCTGGCAGCACAACATCCTGCCATTACGTGAATTTCGGGAATTGGCGGGAACTCCAAACGTAGCAGTCGATTTAATAATTTTTACTGTTTTTCGTTAAAAATATCCTGTGTAAATATTACCAAAACTATCTTAGTCAGTGTAAATAATTGCACATTGTGTGAATTATCAAAATTAATGAACCGGAGGACCCAGGTGGAACTCCGAAACGATCCAAAATTGTTCGTAAAAGAGGTACGAAGGAATGTGGGCCTGAAGTAGGAGGCGGTGAGGATGACTTTATTCCGTTTTTAAGCCAGGTTATCTGAGACTTTATCCTGAACATTGTACAAATACGGACTTCAAAGTTTTTGTTGAAAGCCAGGACCAACAGGTTAAAATTGGAAATAAAAGTCCAGTTTACTTAAATCATATTTTTACTTCGGAGGTGAAAGGTGTGGTAGCTTTACATAAAGTCAATGCCAATAAAATTGCGGTTGTTTTTAAACATTATTTATTTTCATTTCATTATTTAGTTTCAAATGTATTTATATTTTTGTAAATACTACGAATATTTTGGCATATTAAGGTTAGGTCATTTTTGAAAACATTTACATATTTAGTTAAATGCTGTATATCACATTGAATAGAGTTCTCTATTTTTGAATCGTCCATGTCTTGTATAGTAGAAAATGTACTGTTCATTCTACTTTTATAAAATAATAAAATGCATTAGCAATTTCGTTAAAGAGTTTGTTGAATATTATAAACAATTTAGTAGAGGGTAATTTTGCGAAGTGATTAGCTCGATGTGTATATATAAAAAGATTAAAATAAAAGTTTTTATATATGTATAATAGCAACGTAATGTGCAGGTGGGTAGGGTGACAGAAGAACCTAAGAGAAGTAGAAATAGTTACAGTAGTCTGAGTAATCTCGAACTGTTTGTTAAGATATGACTGTGTACGTACGTACGTATGTAAATTTGTGTGGTGAACAATTAAAAACAAAAAATAAATATACGAAAACACGATAGAGCTTACTCTAATATAAACGAAGAGATTGCATGTATACTGTAGAACGGCTTTTAGTCAGGCGTCTATCTTCAGCTGCTGGATTTGCGATTCATTTTTAATTAGTATTATTTTGGAGTTATCGTCTTTCCTCAAATAAACCTTCCCGTAAGATGTCCAACAAAATTTATACGAATGTGTCTTGCTAAAGTCGCGTGCAAGAAAATAGAGTCGGGCAGCTTAGCTGTTAACTGCTCTGATACAAAGATAGGATTATTTTCTACACCTGAGGACTTAAGTCCTAAATGATGAGCACTGAGTTTTGATTTGTTATTGTTGCGTGAATAAGTCAACGTCATACACTAGCGCCATCTAGTGTCAGGAGTGAGAGCGAGGGGAGCTTTGCAGAAAATGACATCACAAATCTGTCAACCGACAGCGCCATCCGAAGAACTAAGTTTCTAGAAAATCTACACTCGAACACTCGTCGCTTTGCGCGCATTTACTTGAATATTCCGGATGCTTCATTGCTAATTTGTATATATAGGCGCTGCAAGATGCGATCGGGGAAGTATTGAAGTTGGCGAGACACGCGAAGCTTCGGAGCGGAATAAAGTGAATCAGTGTGATTAATTATTAGTGTTTTTTTAACTTTAATTATTGTAAAGTGAATTAAAGTGTTAATTTAGGTAATTCTATCGGCAATTTTTATTGTCACGAACCTTAAGCTCGTAACAATTGGTGTCAGAAGTGGGATAAAATTATGCCGATTTTACCTAAGGAGGAAACGGAGGGTGTCCGTACCAGAAGTCAACGCCAGCAGGAGACGGAGCAAAGAAGATTTGGTGGTGCGACGCCGCAGACGTCGGAGGGCCAGCTGCCGGCGGCAGGCCCGTCAGTAACTCCTACATCTGCAACACCTGATTTAGGTGCTCTGATGGCGATACTACAGGAGCAGCTGCAGCGCGGACGAGAGGAACAGGCCCGTCTGTTGAAAGAGCAGCAGGAGGAACAGGCTCGCCGACAGGAGGAACAGGCTCGCCGACAGGAGGAACAGGCTTGCCGACGGGAGGAACAGGCTCGCCGACAAGAGGAACAGGCCCGTCGTTTGGAAGAGCAGCTGCGGGACGGACAAGAGGAACAGGCCCGTCGGTTGGAAGAGCAGATGCTCCTCACGAAGGACCTTCACGCTACCTTCGGGAAGGAGATCAAGGAGGTGAAGGATAGTGTTGCTCAGCATGACAACCGCCTGTCAGAAGCTGAAACCCAAATCGCGACAGCTGAAACCCGAATCGAGAAAGCTAAAACCCAAATCGACCAAGTGAACAATCGGGTTGACAACGTAATGGCAGACGTGAAGAAAACGCTGGATGACCTCAAACTGGGGGATGGAATTACAGCTCCCGTAGTAGCTGCAACACCTTCGCTACGTGGGTTCAAGGTGCCACCGTTCGACGGGACTTCTTCCTGGTCAGCCTACAAAATCTAGTTCGAGGCTGTTATGAAAGCGAACGGCTGGAATAAAAGTCAGGCCATGACTGCTCTCACACTAGGCCTGCGCGACCAGGCCTTAACAGTTCTGGAAGCTCTCGGTGAGGAAGTGACTTATGAGCAACTCCTTGAGGCATTGGAGGCGAGATATGGCGACGCTTACCTGGAACACGTCTTTCGTGCGCAGCTTAAAGATCGCGTGCAGCGCATCAACGAAAACCTGCAGCAGTGGGCTCTAGAGGTGGAGAAGCTGGTGCGAAAAGCATACCCGTCTGTACCTGCGCTCATTGAAGGGAACCTGGTGCAGACATTCATCGACGGTATCCGCGACCTGGAAGTCAGAGCTGCTGTGAGGCTCGGGCACCACGAGACGCTTAAGGACGCCTTGGCCCATGCACTGGAGGTGGAAGCCGTGCGGCAAGATCATCATTCCCATCGCGTCAGGGAGGTTGCAGCAGCTACAGTTCGCGACTGCAACAAAGGATTCAGCCCTAGGTGCTATGGCTGTGGGGAAAAGGTCCATCTTCACTCCAGCTGCCCTAAGCGAACTGTAGAAAGGAGAGCTGATCGATCTCGAGAGGGTAGTGCAGCTAACGGCACCGCCTGGCGGTAGCAGGATCATCGTTCCCCTCGCGCTAGGGAGGTTGCAGCAGTTACGGTTCGCGACCACAATAAAGGATACAGCCCTAGGTGCTATGGCTGTGGGGAAAGGGGCCATCTTCGGTCCAGCTGCCCTAAGCACACCCTAGGAAGGGAAGGTGAACGGTCTCAGAAAGGAAGTGCGGCTAACAGCCCCGCCCAGCAGCAGCAGGAATACGACTTTACTATCAGACACTGCAGCGGGAAATCTCACGGCAACGCAGATGCATTGTCAAGAAGACCTTGTCCTAAAAATTGCAACCATTGTAGTAGGCAAGGTAAGGAAGTGGTATCCGTGAGGATGCTCAGGACAGACCACCTCAGCAACGGGTGGAAGGACAGCCTACAACGTGCACAGCAGGAAGATCTTGGACCCAATGGGACAGCTTGCTGCTTCAGGATGGAGTCCTGTGCCCTAAATGGGACAATGATCGAGGAGACAGCTGTCGTTTGCAAATGGTTGTCCCTAAAGCTAAAGTGCCGAATGTTCTACAGCTGTGCCATAATGGTCGTTCAAGATTCCATCCGGGAGTTAAACGAACTTTACTGAAGGTTCGAGAACAGTTTTACTGGGTCCATTACCGTGACGATGTCGAGGATTGGTGTCGCACATGTACAAGTTGTGCAGCTGTGAGGGGACCTCAGACACGGAGTAGAGGAGCATCGAAATTGTACAACGTTGGTGCACCACGGGATAGGACATCCCTTGACATTGCGGAGCCGTTACTGAAAGGCGCAAGAGGGACTCCTAAGATTGTCCATGTGGATCGCTTGGCGCGTTATTATGGGACCGATAATGCTCGGGACGAGCATGTCTTAGGAGGGGGCAGTGTTGCGTGAATAAGTCAACGTCATACACTAGCGCCATCTAGTGTCAGGAGTGAGAGCGAGGGGAGCTTTGCAGAAAATGACATCACAAATCTGTCAACCGACAGCGCCGTCCGAAGAACTAAGTTTCTAGAAAATCTACACTCGAACACTCGTCGCTTTGCGCGCATTTACTTGAATATTCCGGATGCTTCATTGCTAATTTGTATATATAGGCGCTGCAAGATGCGATCGGGGAAGTATTGAAGTTGGCGAGACACGCGAAGCTTCGGAGCGGAATAAAGTGAATCAGTGTGATTAATTATTAGTGTTTTTTTAACTTTAATTATTGTAAAGTGAATTAAAGTGTTAATTTAGGTAATTCTATCGGCAATTTTTATTGTCACGAACCTTAAGCTCGTAACATTATTTTTTTTGTTGAACTCCTTACATTTTTTCAAAAAATCATTTTTTTGTATTGTAGATGATGTCTCCACAATGATAGGAGTGTTCTTAATATCTTCTCTTTTTCCACGGACTCTATACACATCCTTAATATCTGAACTTACCATTTGGCAGCCGATAGTGTTGGATAGACTTAAAACCATTTCAATAAGGTTTGTTTTACTCTCGTTGTTCTTTCTTGGGACGTTCTTGATTTCCAAATTTGTTTTACGTCTATCTTTTTGCATGTCCTCTATTTTGTCTTCCAAAACAGCTATATAGTTCCTGTCCTCCTTAATTTGTCCTTCTAGCTTAGAGATCCTTTCTTGAAATTCCTTATTTTGTTCTGTCAAAAAAGTAATAGAATTTTCGATATTTTAGTTAGTTTTTTGGATTTCTTTGAGAATGCTTGCATTTTTTTGAAATTCCAGATTTTGAGAATTCATAAGCGATAAGAACATGTTTTTCATTTTTTCTTTTAAATTAGCCAATTCCGAAGTCTTCTTTCCGATTCTTTCCGAATCTTCATCTCTTCTTCTCTTTTTCCGGGCAGTTAAAAAGTTTGGTGGGGTTGTTTGATGTGCAATTTCCACTTCTGTATCTGACAAGGATTTATTCATGCTATCCATTTGCTCACGATTGGGAGACTATAAGTGAATAGGAGTTAGTTATACTCTTCATCTACGTAGTCGCAAAATGGTGCAAAAAAACAGTGCGGCAGCAATGTCCTATGGCAAGCAAGGGGTGGAGTCACGTTTGAGTGGGTTGGACTAAAACGCCAAAATGGCCGAAAAGTGCGTATGCAGATTGGCTAAGCGCGTACACAAGTAGGTCGATGACGACATAAAGTATGTCCGCAGAAGGGGGATGCGTACTAGGCAATCAGAATATAAGGTTTGAGTCACAGTTTTGCTCACCACCACCGCTTTCTGCACTCCTATTTTTTTTTCTCGAAATATCATCACTAATTTAATTATTTAAATTTGAAAATGTAATTGACTTAAGTTTTACAAACGAGTACACCTTGCGGCGGTCCAGGAGGAAGAGTTTCCTCATAGAACCCTTTACTTGGAGTGAGTTTTGTACAAGTTTACAATCCAGACGAAACACAAGAACCTGGTTTAGATGATTGTCCATACATTTTGATTAAAAACCTAAATCAGTCCGTTCAAAAAAAACTATTAGCTAATCTTAATGCTCTTTGGCACTTAAAAAAAATTCCTGAATCTAGGAAAACGCAATATGTAATCCCTCTACTTAAGCTTGACAAGCCACCTGAAGATCCTAACTCATATTGTCCCATATCATTGTCATCTTGTGTTGGAAAGCTTAATGAAAACATGATAAAGATGCGTCTTGAGTATTACGTGGCTTCCGGAGAGGGCGAAGTTGAGCTGACAGCTTCATCTCTCTCTTGTCAGATCTGAAATATGCCAATAACAATAATAAGTCCAGTGTTTGTGTTTTTCTGGATGTTCAAGGTGCGTTTGATAATGTTGATCCTGGCATTTTGGTTCAAGTTCTTTCTGACATTGGTATACTAGGCATGCTTTGTCATTGGTTATTTAATTTTTTTAACAGATAGAACTTTGTATATAAGACATAATAATATTCTCCATGGTTCCAGAAAGGTCTCCAAAGGTACAATGCAGGGGGCTACATTATCTCCATTGCTGTACAATATATATACTAGTCAAATTCTTAATTTTGTAAATTTAGAAGGTGTAAATTTACAAAATTAAGAATTTACAGTGGTAGAGCCACGCGGCAGCTTTGCTGTGGCATGTATGGGCCGGCTCAAACCGGGGTGGTACCACGACCTCACAGAATACCGGCGTGAAGTGGAAGCTCTACTTCCGCGTTTCGTCTGGTGAGTGCAGGTGGCCGGAGGCCCAAATCCCCCCCCCCCCCATCAACATGGTAGCGGAATTAAATGATAGACTACCCCAGGAGGGTACCAGCACCCCTGGAGAATCCCTCGCTGAGCATCCACGACCATGTTTCTCCACTTCTGAGCGTGGGTGCTCAGGCTGCCCCGCGTATTCTGGGGGGGGGCAATATTCCGCTCAAGACTAAAACTGCTCGGGGCAAACGGAGCAACAAGACCAAGGCGACCCCTGCCACGCTGTCCGTGAATTTCTGCAATATCAGGGGACTTCACTCTAACCTAAACGCCGTCCACTACCATCTCGAGACGGCGAGGCCGGCTCTGCTCTTTCTGACCGAGACGCAGGTGTCCTCTCCGGCTGATGTCTCGTATCTCTCCTGCCCGGGGTACAAACTGGAACACTCCTTTGTGCCTCGGGCTGGAGTTTGCGTTTACGTCAGAGAGGACATCTGTTCTCGACGCCTCGGCAGACTTGAAGGTTCGGACCTGTCCATCCTTTGGCTACGCGTAGACAGCGACGACCATCCGCGCGTCTACGGGTGCCTCTATAGGTCCCATAGCGGTAATGCCGAAACAGACCGACTCTTCGACCACGTCCAAATGGCTGCAGATTCGTTGCTACAGCAGATCCCCTCCGCAGAGATCGTGATCCTCGGCGACTTCAACGCCCATCACGCCGAATGGCTCGGTTCACGTTTAACCGATCATGCGGGGAGATCTGTTCGTGATTTTGCCTTGGCATATGGTCTGACACAACTGGTTACTTCGCCTACGCGGATTCCAGATGTGGAGGATCATGCACCTTCCCTGTTGGACCTTCTGCTGACCTCTCACCCGGACGGATATCAGATTTCCGTCGACGCCCCTTTAGGCTCCTCGGACCATTGTCTTGTCCGGAGTGTGGTGCCACTCACGCTGAAATCGCGGTTGCATTCTGCAGGCTGCCGCCGTGTTTGGCACTATAGGTCAGCCGATTGGGATGGGATGCGGTCTTTCTTTGCATCCTACCCTTGGGGGCGGGTTTGCTTCTCGCCGGATGATCCCAACGTTGTTGCGGATTCTGTCGCTGATGTGGTACTTCAGGGTATGGAACTTTTTATTCCTTCCTCTGTGGTGCCCATTGGAGGCAAATCTCAGCCATGGTTTGGTCGCTCCTGTAAAATAGCATCATGCTATAAGCAGGAGTGCTACCAAGCCTGGGCTGACGCATCAGCGTCCAGGGATGTAAACACCAGCGCTCTAAAAAAGAAGTATAATTCCGCCTCTAGGTCCTTCAAAAGAGTCATTGCCAAGGCAAAGTCAGAGCACATAGGCAGAATTGGCGAGAGACTAGTTCGTCTTCCTTCTGGAACCCGTGCATTCTGGTCTCTCGCCAAGGCTGTCCAGGGGAATTTCTGTCAGCCATCTCTTCCATCTCTGCACAGGGAGGACGACTCACTGGCCCACACCGCAAAGGAGAAAGCCGATCTTCTAGGCTCTTTCTTTGCGTCTAACTCGACTCTCGATGACGGGGGGAGTACGCCGCCGACCATCCCGCGGTGTGAGTGCTCCATGCCGGAAGTGCACTTCACTCAGCGCTCGGTTCGCAAAGCACTCCTCTCCCTGGACATCCATAAGTCGAGTGGGCCTGATGGAATCCCCCCAATTGTGCTGAGGACGTGTGCTCCAGAGTTGGCACCGGTTTTAACGCGTCTTTTCCGGTACTCCTACTCCCTAGGCGTAGTCCCAAAATCATGGAAGACGGCTTTCGTCCACCCGATCCCTAAAAAAGGCGACCGCTCAGACCCGTCCAACTACCGGCCTATCGCCATCACCTCCTTGTTCTCCAAAACAATGGAGTCCATTGTAAACTGCCAGCTCATGAGGTACCTTGAAGATCACCAGCTGATTAGTGACCGCCAATACGGTTTTCGCCGTGGTAGGTCAGCTGGTGATCTTCTGGTCTACCTAACTCACAGATGGGCGGAGGCAGTAGAGTCCAAGGGGGAGGCGTTGGCCGTTAGTTTGGACATTGCGAAGGCCTTCGATCGGGTTTGGCACAAAGCGCTTCTTTCGAAGCTCCCTTCCTATGGGCTTCCCGAGAAATTGTGCGATTGGATCACCAGTTTTCTTGCAGATCGGAGCATCAAGGTCGTTGTAGACGGTGCAAGCTCCGATTGCAAGCTTATTAATGCTGGTGTTCCACAGGGCTGCGTGCTATCGCCAACGCTGTTTCTTCTGCATATCAATGATATGTTGCAAACCCGTAGCATTCATTGCTATGCAGATGACAGCACTGGTGATGCTCTTTACACCGGCCGAGCAAATATTTCTCGGGAAAACGTCTCTGAGTGCCGGGACAAACTTGTGTCTGAAGTCGAGTCTCTGCTGGACAGAGTCTCGGATTGGGGGCGACTAAATCTAGTCCAGTTTAACCCCCAGAAGACACAAGTTTGCGCGTTAACCGCTAAAAAGAACCCCTTTGTCGTATCCCCTCAGTTTCAAGGCACTCCCCTTGTTGCCTCAGCCAGTATCGGAATCCTCGGCGTCGACATATCGAGTGACGTGCAGTTTCGTGGTCACTTGGAAGGGAAGGCCAAATTGGCCTCTAAAAAGCTTGGCGTGCTCAGCAGAGCGGGACAGTATTTCATGCCGGCACACCGCCTGCAACTTTACAAGGCGCAGGTTCGGCCGCTCATGGAATACTGTTCCCATCTCTGGGCTGGGGCTCCCCAGTACCAGCTCCTTCCACTTGACCGCATCCAGCGCAGAGCGGCTCGAATCGTCGACGACCGAGTGCTTTCCGATCGGCTCGATTCACTGGCGCTGCGAAGAGATGTTGCATCTCTTTGCGTATTTTATCGCATCTATCACGGGGAGTGCTCTGAGGAATTGTTCGGATTAATCCCAGCCGCCAAATTTCGTGAACGTACTACACGGCAAACGTCCCGATACCATCCACACCATCTGGATGCTTGGCGGTCCACCACTGTACGTTTCAAAAGGAGTTTTCTTCCGCGTACAACCTCTCTGTGGAATAATTTACCACCGGTGATTTTTCCGGACCGATACGACCTGGGGACCTTCAAGAAAAGAGCTTACTCCTTTCTAAAGGGCCGGCAACGCACCTGCAATTCCCCTGGTTTTGCGGTTGATCATGGGCGGCGGTAGTCACTTAACATCAGGTGAGCCACATGCTCGTTTGCCCCCTCTTCTATAAAAAAAAAAAAAAAAAAAAAAAAAAATATTCTACAATTTGCGGATAATCTTGTTATATATTGTACAGACCATAATGTAGACAGAACTGTAAATAGTATAAATAATGCTTTAGACCAATTGTACATATATTATAATGACAGGTTGGCTCTACAGATTAACACCAACAAAAGCAAGGCCATGATTTTTAGTAAAGATTTTCCCTCTAATGGCATACTCTACAATAATCATCCAATTTCAGTTGTACCTAACCATAAATTCTTGGGTGTTGTCATTGATAACAAACTTTGTTTTGATTTACACATCAATCACATTATAACTAACTCTCTTAAGGGCTTAAATATTATAAGATGTTTAGCTGGTGTGACTTGGGGTGCAGACCCCAAAGTCTCAAGTATGCTATATAAATCTATAGTCAGAAGCCATTTCGACTACAGTTGTTTAGCCTACACAAATATTAGTTGTGTAAAAAAACTAGACATAATTTAAAACAAAGCTCTGCGAATTATTACTGGGGCTATGTGTTCAAAACCCATACCCCTTTAGATCCCAGTACTCACAATTGTGACGGTGACTTTGTCAATTTTTATAAAATTAAACAATAGTCATAGCTGACGGGGACAGCATCGCACGATCGTGCGTATAGTTCAGTTTAATACGACAAAGCGCAGTGGAATTAAATTACAATAATTTTGACTCTGTCGGCATTCGCCGCCTAGCAACAAGCAAGTGTTACGCGCCAAAATAAAACATAACTGTTTGTCACGGAAAAGTAAGTAAAAACTATATTGTTATTGCAATCATTCGTTTGAAAAAAAAGGCTAAATTCTCAATAAATTATGTTTTTATTCGTCCTTTCGCGTTTTTAGTTTGTCTTTTTCGATGTTACTTTTAGATGTCACAATCGTGAGGGTTCGGGCCCAAAGTTGGTCAGATTAGTGATTATTTATACCAATTATTTTATTGATTAAAATTACTTTTACGGATTTTATCGCGTTTATTTTACTATTATTTTTAATTCCCGACGTTTCGGGCGCTTTCAAGCACCCATGGTCACGGGGGACTGAGATGACTGACGTCCCGATGTCATTGTTAAACCCGGAGTACCTTCAGCTTTTTTAATTATTGTTTATGGTCCGATCTATGTAAACAAAATGAAACGTCGGGAATTAAAAATAATAGTAAAATAAACGCGATAAAATCCGTAAAAGTAGTTTTAATCAATGTGTAGTGTTCGTGTAAATATAAGAAATCAATTATTTTATGTTAAAAACCCTCTTTTTTACTTTTCAGTCTATTTGATTAATCGTTATGAATAGAAATAACTTGGTTTTTGACTCTGATGCTATAATGGACCAACTCGCTGACTCGGATTTGGGCGAGAACTTTGACAACGATAATGATTGGCATCCATCTGGTGAGCTACCTAGTTTTAGCTCCGATGACGAAGACGAGCAAGAAGCAAGAGTTTCAACAGTAGCAAGTCCATCATTGTCGAATAAATGGACTCGCAGACAATTCATCGGTAAACCCATGCCTACACTAATCTCGGAGTCGACGTAAGAGGTACTTACTCCAAGTGAATACTTTGATAGGTACTTTACTGAAGAAATTTACGAGTTATTAGTATTAACTGGTTCAACTGCTATTGGAGCAAAAGCGAGCTCTTTGTGCGCAGTGCTGTTTATGATCGCCAATCCAAGATTGGTCAAAGTTTTCTTCTGGACCCTAAATGCAGTGTTTTCACTGCCGAGGTATATGCGGCCCTCGAGGCCATGAAGAGGATCGACATATAGTTTTAATAATTTTTTAATTTTAACAGACAGTTTAAGTATGGTTCAAAGTTCAACCAATCTCAGATTTGACTTTAAAAAAAACTATATTTTGTATAATATTAAAAAATTGTTATTTATTTATGCACAAAAGGGTATACTCTTTCATATGGATTCCATCACATAGGGGCATAACAGGAAATGAGATAGTAGATAGAATTGCACGTGATGGAACCAACATGTTGGATGTTAGCTCCATAGTAAAAGTACCTTTGACCGACTGTTATCAATCTATTGACAACCAGGTCAATAGCTTATGGGTCGAATTTTGGAAACAAGACCAAGAACAGAAGGGTAAATGGTATGGAAATGTTCAAGCAAATCTTCCTGTGACACCATGGTATAACAAACTGAAAATGGCCAGTCGGGACTTTATTACGACTATAAACATACTGTGTTTTGGTCACTCCACCGTCCCTGCCCACCTGGCTCGGTTGGGCATAGTGGAGAGCAGCTACTGCACCTACTGCAATAATTTTGTTGGTGATATCGAACATTTCATATCATATGTGAGTGATTTTCATTTGACAGATTGATTCTTTCAGTGAAATTAGTGCCTTTGACTAGAGAAGACTTTTTTCTCTAGTCAAAGCATAGTGCAAAATCAAGCGACAGTCATAGATAAATAAATATGTAGCAAGCTACAGGCGACAGTGCAAGATCCCTCCCGCCGCCTGAGTGATATGTTAAAAAATAGATCCTATTATGTGCCTCTATATAAATTTATAAAAAATACAGTGGGGAAATTATAATAAACCGAATAAAAATACTCAAGACTCGGCCTAAAGGTCTTGATACCAGGCCATATTCTCAAAAAAAAAATTACGTGAATTTCAAAAAGTACTCTGTGGTGAACATAGATAAGAGTGTGTATATAGCTTACTACATATTTATTTATCTATGTATATACCTACGGAAAGTGGTGAAGGTGGTGAATTTATTTACCATAGATTACTGTGTATATACTAGATTTAGAGATCATTTACGCTTCCCGTACAACCATTATCTACAATTTGTTTTTAATGATATTTTGTAAGTACTAATAACTAAATAATATTTATATGTCTGATTAGCGTAGCTCTGGGTTTCAACGGATTAAGGACAGTGACGGTATATCATCTATTCTAAACAACTTGCATCAAGGGCATTACTGCACCCATCATGTTTTCTTCACGGATTTCCAAACCCAGAAAACGATAGTGAACGATTTAGGGTATGGCTTTATGCAATTGGCGGTGATTTACTAGTCATCGAAAATATGCACATATTCAACTTCAAGTATCGCCATGTCATGTCACTCACATTTTGAAGAAAAATTTCAATGCAAAAATAACAGAATCAGTAACATTGCTGTGCCTACTTTAAATATACCAGGTTTGTCTTTATAGATTATAGAATAAGTAACCATATTATAGAATGAATTAGGAACATAATATAATTATGAATTGTATGTATAGTTTCTTTTTAAAATATGCCTAACAACAGTAGAACGTCGATTAACAGAACGACCGTTTAACCGAACTGCTACCTCGGTCCTCGGCACCTCATTGAGATGCGACCACCTTCTCGCTTCTCTGCGCAGTGTCCCGTGTTGGGCTATGTTCCGTACCGATAAAATATAAATACAAGATTAACAAACTATTAGAGAAAGGCGAATCTGCAACCAAGTTATCTAAGAAGTACAAAGTGGTTAAGCTGACAATTACGGATATAAAAAACCAAAAGACGACCATATCCAATTTTATATCCAGGCATGATTTTACTAATGGGTCGACAAGTCGTAAAACTATGAAGCTCTCCACGAACACCGATCTTGATGACGCTGTTTACAAGCGATTTTCACAAAAAAAATCGCAAGGAGAACCTATCTTTGACGCCGTTCTATGTGAAAAGGCAAAACATTAAATGAAAAACTTGGAGGACCGTTAAACTTTCAAGCAAGCATGGGCTGGTTAAAATGGTTTAAGTCAAGACATAGCATTCGTGAGCTTCAATTACAAGGAGAAAAACTTTCTGCTGGTTCTTCAGCAGCTGATTCTTTCAAAATCAAATTAAGAGACATATTGAAACAAGAAAATTATGTTTTAGAAAATGTTTACAATTCTGACGAAACTTGACACAATTGGATGGGTTTGCCAAGAAAAACTCTTGCCTCACTTCATGAATTAGCAGCACTTGGTCAAAAGTAAATAATTGTATAACTGCTCTAGCTTGTATTACAACTGTCATAAATTAAATTTATATTACATTTTATAAATATGTTTTTATTAGTATATTAGTACATACAATTATACAGTTCAATTATACGAACAAACCGGTTTTCCGAACCCCTATGTCCCCCAATTAATTCCGATAATCGACACTCTACTGTAGTAGTAATTTTACCATGATTCATTCGTTAATGTATCTAGGATATAATTACATACTGTTTATATGCACTATCGGGCTTAAATGGATAATGCATGTAATGATTACGGCTGACAGAATGATGACGCTTTGATGATCAACCATTAAGTCTAGTTTTCATAATTGCAATGTGTTATCACCCCTCTTATACTTTTTTTAAAATAAATTGTTATATAATATTATTATACAGTGAAGTAATACTTTTTTTTTAGTCATCAGTCATCACAGATACTGGTACTGTTTTTTATTATCATATATAAATAATTTCAAAGTTAATCCTATTAATGATTTCTTATATTTACGCGAACACTACACATTGAAATAATACTAGTTTTTACGGAATTTATTGCGTATATTTAACTTTTTAATTACCCGACGTTTAAAATGGATAATACCTACGTGCGCCAAATCGCCAAAGTTGTATGGGTTACCAAAAATACACAAGCCCAATGCTCCATTACGCCCCATAGTGAGCCAAATCGATTCACCAACTTACAGATTGGCTCAACACTTAGCGGAAATACTCTCACCGCTCAGAGGACATACAAGAGCACACATAAAGGATTCCTACCATTTTGTCAGCGAGATTTAAGACCTACGTCTGGCAGACAATGAAACTATGGTCAGTTTTGATGTGCAGTCATTGTTTACATGCTTACCTGTTGAAGACTGCATCTCAATTGTAACTAGAAGGCTGGAAGAAAACAACATGCCCATAGAATATGCAGTATTACTCAAACACTGCCTTACATCTGGCTACCTATTGTGGAAGGAGGAGTTCTACAAGCAAGTAGATGGTGTGGCGATGGGCTCACCTGTATCTCCCATTGTCGCCGACATATTCATGGAAGACTTTGAGGAGAAAGCCCTGCTTACTTCTCCCATAAATCCAAGTTTCTACAAGCGGTACGTAGACGACACTTTCACAATTCTGCCTTTAGATAAAGTAACTGCATTTTTAGACCATCTTAACTCTATAAATTCTAAAATTCAGTTCACAATGGAGTTAGAGGCAAACAATTCCTTAGCTTTTCTAGATGTGTTAGTAATTCGGAATCCTGATAACACCTTGAGCCATACTGTGTATAGAAAAAAGACCCATACAGATAGATATCTAAACGGTGATTCTCACCACCATCCTTCACAGTTAGCTACCGTGGGTAAATCTTTGTTTCAGAGAGCACGAGGGATCTGTGACAGTAAACACCTGGCTGCCGAGCTCCAACATGTCAAGCAAGTTTTGCATGACAACAAGCTTCGGGTCCCGCACCTACGTCACAGAGAACGAGTGAAGCCGGCCACAGTCGAGCGTGTACTTGCTGTACTGCCGTATGTTAGAGGAGTCACTGACAAGATTGGCTACATCTTGAAGCGCGCTCCCATCAAAACATACTTCAAGCCGCCGAAGAAGATTGGTCAGTTTTTACCATCAGTCAAGTGTAACATCCCTCTGCAAGATGCAGGAGTGTACAAGCTTGATTGTGAATGTGGTCTCTCCTACATAGGACAAACTAAAAGATCAATTAAAACCCGCGTCAAAGAACATATAGCTGATGTGAAGAATCGACGCTCCGGGAAGTCTGCAGTCTGTGAACATGTACAGGATCGCCCCCGTCACTACATCAGATTTGATAGACCACAAATCCTCGCTAAAGAACACCGATTCCTTCCAAGGATGATTCGCGAGGCTATTGAAATCAAAAAACATCCTAATTTCAATAGAGAAGATGGCTGGGTGCTACCATCTGCTTGGGATCCTATAATAAATAAAATTAAATCCCAACCCAAGCATACAACTGCAAGACTCCATGATACCATAAGTTCATACTGTGTAGATCGGAACAAAAGTTAAATTTTAATCTATGGTAACCGCGGTTAACTATGACAGCTGGACGTTGAACATCTCAATCCTTCCTGTGACCATGGGTGCTGTAAAGCTCTCGAAACGTCGGGTAATTAAAAAGTTCAATATACGCGATAAATTCCGTAAAAACTAGTATTATTTCAATTAATCCTATTATTTTCTTTTGGATACATCATCAAATAAATCAGCAGTTATGTGAAGAAAACCCATGAAATAAATTTTGAACCTGGCAAAATTGTCAACACCTACAGGTTTTTCAACAAGTCTGCTATATATACTTATAATCATAATACTGTCATCATTACAGCACATCACAAATCCACTGCTGAACATAGTATGTGACCTTTTCAATGGGACTAATATTTTAATACTTCCATCATTGTTTATTTATGAGAACATTATAATGTACATATGGAAAAAAGTAAATTTATTACTAAAAAAAGAAGGAAATTTCCTG